GCTGAAAGAGACCTCACAACGAGCTAGCTAATGGATGACTTGGTGAAACAATATGGGCCCGCTTCAGACATCCTCAGGGAGGTGGCTGAGATCTGATGGATTATACATCTGTCATGATACGAGGTGCAATGACAAGTTTCCAGAGACTAGAGAAGAACACAGAAAATAATAGGGGCTAGAATGGGAGGAGTTTGTACAGGTGCCTCAGAACTGTCTTTAAATCACCCTATTCTCTACTCTTGTTCTACTACCAGCTAAGCCTTGGCCATGTGACACCTGGCAAAACACTTAGCCGTGCAGAGCCTTGGCCCCTTATCTGTGAAATGGGATATCTGCCTCAGAATAAGATAATGAAAGTGAAAGCATTTTAAAAATGGTGGAAATGCTTTAAAACTTATAGGTTATTACAGATTGCCCCGAATGTGACTTGACTCTCAAAGCAATGTTATCTTAATCTGGTTTCCCAAGGAAACCCTCCTACTGACCAGCCAAGGCAAGTATTGTTTATGTGACCTCAGCAATTCCTCTCTTCTCTGGGCATTAATTTCGTCATCTGTTAAAAAAGGAGATGGACTAGAGCCCTAATATTTTGTAAGATCCCTTGCATGAGACATGCCCTGATACACTAATCCTCACTGTAAGGTCACAGAAGGCAAATTTGTGAGCTCATTTCCCTGAGTCATCCTGGGTTACTTAGTTTCTGAATATGCAAGCCTGAGGCTCTTGCCCAATCCTCATTAGCCTCTGTACCAGAAATCACCAAATCCCGCAGCAGAATAACTCCCAGGGCACCCAGAGGAGAAATGGAGGGACATGGGGAGAGGGTTGTCTGGGCCAAGTGCATCCCTACTCACAGCCTGAGATTCACTTTGCCCTTGGGCACTGCTTGTCAATGACAGCTGCTGCCAAACAGAAGGAAACACCTACCTCCGTAATAAAAAAGCCAGATTCTTCAAGGTTGCCCACAAAGGGAGAAACTTGGAAGATCTGGGTTTAATTTTATAAGGGAGCTCCCAAGCCAGTAAAAGACCAAAAGGCAATTTACAAAAAGAAGTGGAGTATACAAGTGTCTTTTGCCCAGGCCTGAATTTCAAAATATAAGGGGATGGAGGAAGAGGGTACTTCCTGAGTACCTACTAAGGTGTCAGGAAATGGTCTCCCAATCCAGGATGAGAAAAGCTACCTATACACCTACTGGATGCCATGCACTTTATGTATGTACCATCTGTATTTAATTTCCACACCAACTCTGCAAGATAATATCCACGTTTTATAGATGAAGAAACAGACTTTGTTTTCCTCAGCTACCTCCTTTGCCAAACATCTGGTTGTAGCCCCCTGAGTTGTTGATAGTGGTCAGGCCGTATCATACACAAGTCTTTAGGAGGGGGAAAATCAATTTCACATTAATGGCTGGAAGAGCAGCCAAGGATAAAGGAAGCAGGTGCTGGGTCTCATCTGGTTTATTCTCACCCATTTAGAAGCCTCAAAACACACCCAACCCCACGTGTCTCCTGTTAACGCTGCCTGCGAGTGAGTCCTGGAGATACAGTGGCTGCCCCCAGATCTCTTCAAGATTGGAGAGAAGCCACCAGGCCTGCTGCATTGACCAGCAGGCAGCTCAGCCCAATCTCACTGCATTGGGGTTGGGGGGATGGGGGGAGCAGCCAGGCAGTTGTCTGGCAGCCAAGAAAGAACAAAAGGCTTATTCACTGACTCAGCTCCTCTCCTAAGGGGATAGAATGGTGTTGACTTACAGTTTTCCCCTTGCCTTTTTATCAGAAAATAAGCACTCCCTCCAACACTGCGCTTGGGGCAGACATGGACCTGCAGACTGGCCATCTGAACCTTGTGGCCTAGACAACCAGGACAAAGACCAGCATGGCTAAGCCCTCATCCTCCCCACCCCCACCTGCCACCCTTCCTCCCCTAAGAGGAAGCCTGGTGCCTACCCACCCTTCCCAGACAGGAGAAAGCTCCATCCTATTAGCCTCATTGCCTTTTGCCATATGTATTTCTACCCTGACTGCTCCAGGGCCAGGATCTGGGAGCTGAGCTAGCCTGAGAGAGCAGGTATGCATGAAGCTGATACCTGCCTCTGACATCCTTTTGGCGGGGCTAGGGGTGGAAGGATGGAGGCATCGAAGACCTCCTTCAGGCAACACAGGTTTCTTCAAATTATTAGGTAACTCTGAGACACCGCTATTTTCCCAGCAAGAAGCAATGCTGTGTCACACTGCTGCTCAGGAAAAGTTCCTCAAAGCAGCCAAGGTTATGAACACCAACTATATGCCCAAACTGCAGTCTTGTTTCATCCTCACAACAAACCTAAATGGCATCTATTAGGATTTCTGTTTCAGATATGGAATGCAGATGCCGAGAGGTTAAATCATTGATTCAAGTAAATGGCAGAGCTGAGATTTGAACCCAGTACTGCCTGCAGCCACCAGCAGGTAATACTGTTTTTAAGGAAATATTAGAGCTGGGAGGATCATCATATCTTAACCACTTGCCCCTACACTATTTGATATTAGCTCCATCAAATGCTAAAACTGACGAAACCAGAGAAAGTAAATGACTTGTCCAGTGTCACACCCAGAATTGGTAGCAGTGTTAGAACTAGATCATGGTTTTCCTGACTTCTAAATCCAGCTGTTTTATTTAGAAAGTTTCTATTTCTCCTACTGTCCTTTGCAATCCAAAGCAAATTTGCATGAAGCTACTGGGCCTCTCTGGACTGGGAGATGCTGATAATCTGTAGACACATCTTATTAGCTTGGATGTAAAACAGTGTAAAAGTGATCCGTCTAGTGTGTGGCTTGAGCAAGGGCATCAGTACAGCCTTAGTTATTAAGAAAGTACGCAATAAATGTTGGCTGCTACTGTGACTGTTTCACCTAACTGGTGTTCTACTATTTATATTTAATACTTATGATAATCTTGGGTGGGTGGGTGTAAGGTGGGCATGGTGTGTGTGGAGGGGGCATATATTCCCTTTTAACAGACAAGAAACAGGAGTAGGGTAACAGAACCTACACTCAACAACTCTTTCCAAGAAACTGTTCCCTGACTCTGCAGAGAGCTTTCCTCTAACTCATGTGTGGTTTCCTGTTGTACAGTTTGTGCTCAGAGCACTTTTGCTGGGGAAAGAGGTGGTCTGGTGGTTGGTGACGAGGAGTCCGGTGACTTGTTGTTTTGCCCTGAGTTTACAGGAAAATTATCTTAGGCCTCAGGGCAGTCTCGTGACAGTCTACAGTAGCAAATCTAGAAGAAAGGCTGGGCTTCCTCATTGGGCATGAGAACTGAGCTCAGAATTAAGAACATTTAGTCAGGTCAAGTACCTGGAGGCCTGGAAACTGTCACAAGATTAGAAGAGAGTCAAATGCTATCCAGTGACTGAGGATCAAGGGCTAACCTCAGCTAACATGGTTTGGTTCTGGCACAAATTGTAGGCCAAGGTCACCACATCATTTCTTCTCTCTGAAATGAAGAAGCAGGTGTCCCTGGACCTACCACATCAACCATTCTACTGGGGGTAACGACCTTTACTGGGACTCGAGAGACCCTCTCAGGTCATTACTTCCCCTCTCTGAACCTCTGCTTTGTGAATCACAGAAAATCAGAGAAAAAAAAAACAGTGGTTAGAGAGCACTAGTACAGTACCCACATTTTACATAAAAGAAAAACAACTGTCGTCACGACCACTGAGCTAAGCAGTCACATGCCTTAGCCACAGCAATGCTCTGCAGCAGGAAATAAAAGCAACTTGCCCAAAGTCGCACAGTGACTTAAGTGGCAAGGCTGAGACTGGGCTCTATCAAATGCTAAGTGTGTGACCTCAGGCAAGGTACATATCCTCTCTTGCCTCAGTTTCCTAATCCATAAACTGGGGGTTAATAACAGCATTTGCCTCATAAAAGTGATTGCCAGAATTGAGTTAAAGCATGCAAACTGCTCGAAGCCCCGTCTGGCATATGGTTAATGTTCTTCTCTACTGCTGCTATTGTTTTTGTTGTGGCGTTGTTATCATCAGTACCCAGCACTTCCCCTTTTTCATCTGTAAAATGAGGAGGTTAACTGCATCACCTCTAAGGGCACTTTAGGTTTATTTAATGCTGGATGATTCACTAGGGCTGTGGGCTCAGACATGGCCCTCACCACTGGAAAATACAGGCCACCATGCCACTTCCCTTATAGGATGCTGTCTCAGATCACAGAAGAGAAATATCACAGACACTCAGGGATGGAAGTCAAATCCCCTGATTTTGTCCAGGAACAGCAAATAATTTTCCCAGTTAACCAGTCCTATAAAAATGAATGCAACTCTGGCTTATCATCTTGCACCTGTCATTGACTTTGATAGCCTCTTCCACATCATATCTCAGGGGCCCTCTCAAAATAAACATTCCTCTTCCTACTGTCCCAGCCAAATAGGTCTGTCCCTGAGTTTCCCACGTAGCCTCCTTGGCTTTCTGATAAGTCTAAACAGGCTCTCTGTCCTCCAACTCACTCTTTTTCCTCCTGACCTAGAAGAGATCCCTATGACTCAGAAAATTCAAGCCCCAATGGCAAAAGTGGTAGCTGGGGAAGTCTTCTACTAGCAGAATTTTATAACTCACGGGAAGAATTCAATCTTTGGGTCCTACAATGAGTGTCCAGCCTGATTTCTGCAATGCCACTCACTTCCACACCAGACACAATGGATTAGACATCGGGGAGTTTGGTATCAAAAAAGTTGGGTTTGAATCCAGGTTCTGCCACTCCCAGGCAGTACAACCCCGGGCGAGTCACTTCGCTTCTCTGACAAAGGTTTCGTCATCTGTAAAATGGGCAATATGAACCTCTACCTCACAAGGCTTTGGGTGAGGAATAAAGACATCAAAGAAAAGATTTTGTTCAAAGTCACACGATAAAGACCAAAACCAAGTCTCTACATCTTGAGCTGGTTTTCCACCTTCAACACCTCAACTTTTTTTTTTTTTTTTTTTTTTGAGTAAGAATGCCACAAAGGAGTCTGATTCGACTTTGTATACTTTCCTCCCCTCTCAGGGAGCCTAGAAGAAAAGTTACTGACCTCTTGTAGGTGTAGCCCAAGACGATACCAGCTCCCATGGCGATGATGATCACCATCATGGTAATGCCCAGCACAGAGCCTGCCAAGGACAGGACACAAGGCTCCATTAGCCTCACCGAAGAAAATTAACATTTTCTTCATGAATCCCACAAGGACAGGGGTGGGGCAGTCATACCTAAGGTTCCCAGGTCCTTTTTCTCCTTAGAGTTCACCCGCACCCGCTGGCTGATTCCAATCACAGGCTGCACAGCGGCTGCCTCGCTCCCGGCAGGCGGGACGTTGGCAGGAGCGAACACCTGCACTTCATCTCCACCTGGCACTTTAGATACCTCCTCTGTTCCTGTCATGGAGGTTGGCAGGTCCTGGGAAGTGGTCTCTGGAAGTGAAGTGGGAAACAGTTCTCATCAGAGTGGCCTGAGTATTGAGGGAGTTGAGGGAGGTTCACCTTAGAATGACCCATAAACTCAAATCAAACCCTGCCCCAGCAAAAAGACCAGGCCTGAGAGGGTCCTACCATAGCTGTGGCAAGGCAAATGTGAGGGGAAGGCCATCACAGCGATCCTCTCCTGCCTTCCATATCTTCATCTGTTCAAATCCTTGCCATCTTCCAAGACCCAACTCAGTTGCCAGCTTCTCCAGGGGATCTCCCTCTATGCCAGGAAATAATCCATGTCTCCTCTGGGCAGCTCACATTTATTGAGCCCACGCTTGGTGCCAATCCCTCTGTTATATGCTTTACACATTCCACTTAATCCTACAGAACTGTCTTGCTGCCACGGAAGCAACAAGCCTGCGCTCGAATCTAATAGACTTGGATTCAAATTTGGACCCTGCTATTTCATTGCCTTCGATAAATTGCTGAACTTCTCTGAGGCTCAGATCCCCCAAAGAGCTTCTTCCACGGGTGGAGAGGAAAGGGCTGTGAGCAAAGCCTAGCACACAGCAGATGCTCCACAAACAGTAAACACTAAGGTGATGGCTAAGGAGTTCAGAGCCCGGACGCGGGGCCCTGGGCTCCCCCACGCAGCGCTGTGCGGCGGAAGCACGCCGCCGCGGGGCGGGGCTCGCCTCCCACAGTTGTTTACCAGGCGCTCGCGGAGGGAGCTCACATAGAGAGGCGGCGGCGGCCAATGAGCTTTGGGCCCCGCGGCCTGGAGACAGCCCTGGCCAATCGGACGGGGCGGGGGCGGGGCGGGGCCGG